TACACCTCGCAGCCGTTAAAATGTTTTAGTCTAGACCAAAATGAGGGAATGACTGGCCAAGCGGCAAACGGTCACGTTCGTTCCTTGACGCCACGCGACTGCTGTGGCTAAAAATATCTTGCCGAATATTGAGATCAGTTTGTTTTATTTGTTTCATCTGAGCTCGATCTCCCTGTCTCATTCAGCTGGGAAGATGCTGTGCTGCTGCCTCCTTCATAAAGCTCAGCCCATTAGTCAGGCCACTAATTACACTGCTTACCCACAGAGTCAATCATCAGAGTAAACACCCACCAAGCTCTCTCCTCTCTCTCCCTCTCTCATTTGAATACCACCAAGGACGCTGTGACAGGAGGTCTAACCCAGGGTAACATTACTGAATGTGTGTATCACTGTGAATCCACCCACACATGCCTAAAAACTCACGTCCCACTCTCCGAGGGCCAGGAAATGTGTCAGTACACAGTCATCAGAAGGGTGCCTATTCCTATTCCAGAAGGACAGTCACCATTCAACAGCGTTTTGCATTGTTAAAGCACCGTGCGGTGGAGAAGGAAAGACACAGGTCCAATTTCTTAAACCCCCCCCCCCCCCGTCACCAAATTTGCAATCTGCGTGGCTGCATGCGAGAGAAATGTGCTCGTAATCTCCCAATGATTTCTGCACTTAGAGGGGAGGGGCTGCCAGGCACCTGTTTCATTAGCGTCACCCCCCACCCCACTCTTCTCTCCTTCCTCCAGCAAGCCCCGTTATTCAAATTTCCCTGCTGTCAGCCCACATTAGCGAAGAGCCACAGTTTGCCTGTCAGCTGGCTTAATTGCTGGAGGTGCCTTCTTTTATTAGGTAACCCCCTCAGCTCATTTGTTCCTTCCACTGAGGCGCACCTCCACAACAGCTTGTGTAAACCTGAAATCCCTTCAGCCTCGTTTCCTTCATTTTCCTCTCTCCCTCCCTCGGTCTCTTTCTCTCGCTAATTTGCTCCCGAGTATAGCAGGCGAGCTCCTGATCGATAAGACACTCTCCCCGCCGGACAACAGTGGTGATAAAGAGCTAAAAGCATGCTAGGACTCAGGAAGTGTGTGGTGGTGGTGGTGGTGGTGGTGGTGGGGGGGGGGGATAAAGAGAAGAAAGCATCTCCATCTCAGTCACTCATTTGCTCTCCAGACAACACTCTGTCTCTTACCTGCCTTTATTTAGCTCACTGACCAGATTCATTTAGGAAGACGGCCTCCTAGATGAAGAGACAGGGCATGGCCACGCTTGGAAGTAAGTTGAAAACACATATTTTGGCCCTGTGTGCTATATGGCCCCGATTCAGATGGTTTCCTACACCGTTTGTGCAAAAACAAGAGGGAGGCAGAAAAAAGGCTTTTCTAAAAATGCAAGTTATCTGAGACAACTGATCATGACGTGAATCTGCCTTTGTTTTGTGGTTCCCTCTGTTCTTCAAGCTTCATGCAAACACAAACCTCACAATGGCACTTGGCAGAGGAGGAGTAAATAGTGGGGTCATGTGGGCTGCATATGCCCGGCGCTTAGCAATGGTTAATGGCTATTGTTGTGGCAGTGAATGATGAGCACAGTAACAGTGCAACAGCGTCTACTCGCACAAGTGTTGCTGGTGCTCGGATATAAGGTAAAAACCTGTACTCTGGCACCTTAGAAGAGACAGAACTACATTTTTAACATCATTATTAATTATCAAATTGAATCCACAATATTTAAAACAGACAGTTTATCTGTTATAAATATACCACAGCATACTAAAACTGTGTGTGAATACAGTAAGAATACTAGTTCAAACTAAGTTGAACTCGGAAGCCACTCTGAAAATATATAATGAACGTTTATAATGGACGGTCTTGGTTGGAAACCAAATCAGTGTTTAGTCAGACAGTAACAGCACGATGCGTTCTGTTCCCACTAAAAGATTATGAAATGTTATTGTAACAGAAATGAACCTTTGGCCAAACCACATAATTAAACAAGGTTATCAATACTCTTTTGCAAACGAGGGCTACATTTTTTAAATAGCCATTTTAAACCAAGTGGTCTGAAGAGGATGAGTACGGAGAGCATTGAAGGGAATTCAGAACAAGGCCACGTTAACATCATGCAGAGTGAAAAAATGCCTTTCATTCGAACGATGGAAGTGTGCTAATGTAGTGGAGGCCATCGAGGGGGTGGGGACATCCAAAGTAATGTTGCCTCATGTGGCAAAAAAGTTTAGTCTCTTTAATGTGACATCAATTTTCATTCAACTGGACACCCCAGGTCTTATTTCATTGTCACAGGTATATGAAAAAACAACCTCAGAATTGGACCCTCTTTTCAAGCTGGACTTTTTTTTTTTTTTCTTAAACTGAACATGCATTCACAGTTGTTTGCCCTGCATCATGTGGCAGTGTTGAGGAACGTGTTGTCTCATGCGTATTTAACTCGGTTAGAGAAGAAGCTGAACCAGATTCGACTATTCTGTCGCACAATGCTGCATCTTTTTGGAGACCTTTTGCAACCTCCTCTCAATGCACCCCTCAGCACAGTTCCCTCATTGAATAGATAAGAAGGGCTGCATTTTTCCTACACAGGGTGAGTGTCTGTCTAAACACAGCAAAACTGATCACCTCCCAATAGTAGCCTCTTAACAAAACCCGATATTTTGATAATCTTTTACAGGCCATGTCTTAACAAGCACTTGTGAGGTTTATCAATGTCACAGTTTTCTCCTTGTGAATACATGTCTCACCTTTATTTCAAGTGGGTAAATTGTGTCATGGTCAACACAATTAGCATCATTAGAGGCTAAGAAAACAAACGATATATACTAACGATACACTTTTATCTTGTACTTTGCTTTCTTTTTCACTTGTGGGTGTGTCGGCAGTACAGTCTGGTAGTTTCTGTCACTAATGTGGCAGATTTGAAAGAACACTAACAACCTATGAGAGCCAGCCATGTCCCATACACATCTCAGATAGTCTACAGCTGGCATCAGGCCGAATCCCAAAACCATCTGGGCACATACTAGGACATCAAGTGTTTCCAGAAACTTTTTTTAATGCTGTGTTTACAGCACCATTGCATCTGCGCATATCAGATTTTTGGTCTCTGATAAGGAGAGGTTTGGCTCAAGTGTGTACTGTTTTTAGTGCTTGTTAAATGTGCAAGTTGAGTGATTTGAGTTGAGTAATTTAATTTGTCTGTTGTGCTTTATGCCATGGAGAGAATGTCATATGAACCTGTAAAACGTGAATAGTCTGGACAATAAAATATTTGAAACAGGTAGTGAACTTCATACACTTCCCCCTCAACAATGAAGATAAGGTAAAAACAGGTTGAATTACATGCGGGTACCAATAAGTCTTTCCAATGTGTGCAAGTAAATTGATAACTAACATTTGATAAAAGACAACTATATATTCTATGATATATAGGCCATGTTTAACGTGATTTATGGGTCAAAACCTTCACAGCCGACCATCCTCCAGCGTTGACAGGTTACTGCCGGGCTAGCGTTTCAGATACAGTTTGCCGTGTTGAGTGGCCCTTCACTGTGAGGTGCAAACAACAGCTCCTGATGGCCTGGGACTTTTTGGAGGGTGCATCGCATGGCACTGCCGAGATCTACTAAGAGGTTGAATTGAAACGGGACCGCCGGCCTAAACATTCTACCCAGACCCGCCGCAGTCTGCTCCTCTCACCCTGGGACGCCTGCCCATACATTAAGATGTGGTTTGGAGCTCTCACAGGAACACAGCGAGGAGAGGCTGGATGAGAGGGATTGGGTTTACAGCGCAAACCACAGACCCACAGTCTGCCTCCTGCCCTGCCTTCCTGCAGTCAGCCATACTACATACACAGCTGCTGCTGGTGTGTGTGTGATGTTTGTGTATGTGTGGCGTGTTTGGATTGAGGGGACTCACAAGATCCTTTTATCGCTCAAAGGAGGTAGAGGCTGAAATAGAAGTTACACTGCACGATGATGGTGGAATTGAAGCATTCTGCAAACACAGATGCTTCAAAAAAATTAAAAGAACGTGTCCTTTTTGGATCTGAACGGATTTGTGAGGAGAATAAATTTAAGTGGCACGCACATATACACATTAAGTTACACATCATCTGGTTTTCGGTGCATGGATGGGACATGAATATCCAAACACAGTCAGAGGCGGGGTGCAGGATGGCATGGCTGAGGGATGTAGATGAGGGTTAGGCAAATGAGCAGGTCTTAATTGATACTTCACACAGCTGGAGGACCAGTGTTTATGTATTTCAGTCTACTCAAAAGCTCTCCACCTCAACTCAACTAAAACAAATTAAAGCCATGCAGCATGGATTTCACTAACACAGATCTATCTGACAACAGCACGGTCGTTTCTGTTTTCAGTTTCTGACATTAGAGCATTTTGGTATTAGTGGTTATCTCCTGGCTTTCAGTCCATCACCCTTGATATGACTGAACAGAAATAAAAAGGCTGATTTTTTGGGAGAACAATGAGTGGCACTTGAGAAGGGCAGGCCATTGAGTGATGGTGTCAACAAGCCGGGCTGACTCACTACCCCCTCCCTCCTCACAGCACATGAGGAAGGGACAAACACTTCATCATCTGGGTCAACTCCACCACCAGAATGGAGCTGGAAGGAGGCTCCATGTTTCCAACCCCATATGGAGGAGGTGGCGGCCTCCAAGGACACGAGATTCACACTCGGCAAAGTTTAGGTGCCTCGGTAAAACAAATACATTCTGCCTGACCTTCACTGGGCGAAGATTACACCGGGCGTTTACATAAAGACACATGAGATGTGAAGTTGCATATGTAGCGCACTACAAAGGACTCCCCGGAAATACATCAAAGGAATTAGCAAGATGAACAATTCCTACTCGCACTTTCTTTGTAGCGACTTAAAAACAACATTGTGCTGAATAATCATTCAGGTTAGGAAACAATAACCGCGTTTAAAAAATGTGTGAGGACTGTTACATAGTGGCGTAGCCTACTTACCGGTTGTCGGTTTTGAGGAAACATTGTAGCCGCCGACTTGTGCGTCTCAGCGTTTCTTTTTTTTTTCTTTCTGTCTTTCTTTCGGGGCGGAAAGCTTCGTCGAGAAATGCGAGCAGCCGAGAGGTACCTACTGCTATTGTGGCGCTCACAGAGGCATTTGGCCCGGTTTCAGAGGTAATGGCAGCGCTAGTCTCGGCTCGCTCATTCCTCGCTTCCAAGACTCCTTTGTTCTGGGTTATATCTCCACCAGCCACCGCAGCGCACCGCACCGCACCACCGCAGCGCAGCGCACTCGACGCGGACAGGAGAGGAGGAACACCCGGGGTCCAGGGGGGAGCTCGCTCGCTCGCTCTCTCTCTCTCTTCTTGGCTCCTCAACTTCCAGCGACTTCGACCGCTTTCCCCCTCTCTCTCTCTTTCTCTCTCTCTCTCCCTCCTCCTCTACATATATATATATAATTCTTCTTCCTCGCCGTCTGTAGCGTGAAGGCCAGAGGGGGGTTAATGTGGTTTCTGCTTGTGGCTCCGGAGACTATGGCCACACCACCCAGCGCATTCAATGCAGCCGCAGCCTCCTTTTGTCTCGCTCGTTGGCCTGCACTTCTTTTTCACACAACACTCCCAGAGTCCCTCACTTCTCCCTCACCCCTCCTCCCTCCTCTGATCCTCAATGGGACATAACATATGAGGAGCTTTCTGGTGAGGGGTGGATGGGTGTGGGGTGGTGGGGGTCGCACCTAAAGACACGGATTGCTGCACCCCCCCACCCCCACCACAAATTGTTTTATCAAAAATTAATAACCTCCTGCTTCTGTGAGAAATAACCACCTTTCTGTCCATCGCATCTGAGACAATGCTCTTCTTCAAACAGCATCACGATGTTTGCAGATGCGCCTTGTTTATTTATTCTTTCCTCTTGTTGTTGTTTTGCACTTGCGTTGTAATGATGCGGGGGGAAATACACGCACGACGATTGGGAGATTTTATTATTACATTTCATTTTTTTTAAGTGCAAACATTTTCTTTTGCAACGGAAGCTACCGAGGTTCAGCGATTGAATGAAATCTCCACGTGGGGCTCGGCCTCAGCGCAGTAAACACTGGCAAAATGAGCCAATGGGTGACGAGAGCGCCCACGTGGGCCACAATGACCGGTTACTGATTGGTGGATGCAGGCTCAGCACGTCAATCAAAGCCGGTGCTCGGCGAAGGTTTTAACCCTTTCCTGGGTGTGTGCGTGTGTGTGTGTGTGTGATGGAGGAGGCTGAGGAGATGTGTGGTTGCTATCAGGATTCAGTGGTTTTCCCTTTTCTCCCCACAAACCTTCAACTGTATGTATTAAAAAAAAAGAATCTCACATTTGCCCCATTTGGTCCTCGTCGATGTGGAAATAAACATCTGCATCACCCTCCTTTTTCATTCCTGGATGTCAGAAATTAGTCATGACCACAGGGAATTCACCAAACATGACCAAAAAAAATCTAAATCCGAGCCCATGCATCAGAACCCTGCAGAAATGCAACACTGATCATGTTTGAGACAATTAAAAGGCTTTATATTGAATGTGTGTATTGTTGTTACCTGGAAAGAGGGAAACACTGAGGACAAGGGGAGAAATGGTGCAAAAATTGGTATTCTGGTGGCACGACCCCTTTAGCGGGGCTCATAATTAGAGAGAGAGATATTGAAAAAGCAATTTCTGACAGTGGAAATCACAACCTGCCAGAGGTGGAGTTGGAAAATATAGATGGGTGTGTGTGCTTACGTGAGAGAATATAGTGTGTGTGTGTGTGTGTGTGTGTGAAACAGACAGAGAGAGAGGAAAGGCAGAGAGGGGGGAGGGAGGGGGGAGGAGGAGGAAGAGAATAAAGGATGAAGGACAGCAGGGGGGATGCTGAGAAAGAGGAGCCAGTAGGAGGGTTAGAGATTGAAAGAGAGGGAGAGTGCACACGGGTGATGAAAAAAAAGGGCTTGTATGTGCGTTTGTGTGTGTGTGTGTGTNGTGTGTGTGTGTGTGTGTGTGTGTGTGTGTGTGTGTGTGTGTGTGTGTGTGTGTGTGTGTGTGTGTGTGTGTGTGTGTGTGCGTGTGTGTGTGTGGCTGGTCCATGAATGTGTGCCTTGAGCAGACAAGTGAGGGAATGAAAAAAGAGAGGAGGGTAAGGAGAGCAAGCGGGGGAGAGTGGAGAGAAAGAGGGAAGGAGAGAGAGAGAGAAAGAAAGAAAGAAAGATTTTATTGCCATTTTTCCCCATGAATTTTAATGCACAGCACTGGCCTCCCTCTCGGATTCTGGGATCACATTTATTAGGAAAAAAAAGTCATGAGAAATGCAGTGCTTTGCAGTCTGCTGCAGCATGGGGAGATCTTTCATGTGTGCGTGTGTGTGTTGGAGGTTTGTGTGTGGGGGGGGGGTAGCTTGCTGGGCTGGGCTGGGTAATGGGGCGGGGGTAGGCGGCAGGGGGCTGCACAGGATGTATGAGTCTGCGTTGTGTTGTGCTGGGGGGAGGCATAATAATATAGATGATAGAAAATGATAAGTGAAGGACACATATTATTGCTATTGGCAGGTCAGATGAAGGAGTGAGCTAGGTGTGTGTGTGTGTGTGTGTGTGTGTGTGTGTGTGTGTGTGTGTGGGTGTGTGTGTGTGTGTGGGTGTGTGTGTGTGTGTTGGCTGAGCTCCAGTGATTAAACACACAGTGCCCTTCTCTCCTCCACAGTGGCCTCAGAGCGACGGGACATCAAAAGTGGCTCCCACAACAGAGGACTCCATGGCTGTATTGCTTTTGGTTTTAGTTAATTTGTGTGAGGCCATAAAGAGAAAATTCTTGTCAAACACATGTTCGCTGAGTGTAAGTAAACACACACTCTCCTCCACACACCTGTCTCAAAGGGGGAAACTGTGGAAAGTGCCCAGAGGGAGCAGCAGCATCCCTTTCTAATCACAACTTCAGGCGAGGAGAGAGCAGCAGTGAAAGCCAAGAAACCGGATACACATACCCTCAAATTATTACCTAGCAGGAGGGAGTGGTTCTTGAAGGATGCGATGAAAACAAGTTCACTTCCCATGAAACTTTTTAGATCGCTTCATTCCTTTGTGGTTGCCAGCAGCAATATCAGCATCAAAGTGTGTGTGTGATGCCCTCATAACAAATGATGCCCCAGTAATGCTGGATAAGGTCTGCAGGAGAGATCCTGTCCACACAATGAACCATCATCATGTCCTTCTTGTCCATGTCCTACACTTATGTGTCCTGGAAAGGCAGCATGATGAGAGAAGTTATTACAGTTTTACTTGGATCAGTTCACCTGTCTGGTGATGTGTTATCCGCAGGTCCTGGGGAGCTGTGGGGATATATATTTAAATCCTGCTCAAAATCCAAATTGTGAGGGATGGAGGCTCGCTGGAACTCAAGATCAAAGAGTCTTCAGGTTTTAAAATTTTGATTATGTCAAACACATTAAAATACAACTTTCTACATCTTAAACATGTTAAGGTAGGTCACTGACTTATGTTAACGTTAATTTAATGCTACCTCTGTTGCACTTTAAAATGAGTATTTAGTGGATACCTACTGTCTCTGCCTAGAGTCTGCATATTGAGGGTACTTCTCAACGTACTTCATTTTATCTTCAGCTAAAGGTAAGTGGTTATAATTCTTGACTCTGATATTCCTTCATATCTGTTGTACTTGACAAAGGACCTAATTTGATTCATTATGGTCTTATAAAGTCTTACATTTAACTTGTTGAAACTTGCAGACACCTTGGTAAACAGACGATATCACTGAAGTCCAATGCATTTCTTTGTCCTTGTTGTTGAGTCAAGATCTTTTTTAAGCGATAGAAGCCAAATCTGTATGAGCTCTTCAGATCTACACGATCACTTCAGAGCTCTAGTGCCACATATACCATATTTAACAGTAACAAAAATATTCAGCTGTGTGGAACATCAGGTTTAGGACACAGAAAGTCAGAATTAGACCCAGAATGTTGAGACCAGTGGTGAAGGAAGTACTCCAACATTTTATTTAAAAGTAAAAGTGCGATTAATTCGACCAAAATGTGCTTAAGTAGCCTAAAGGTGAAAAGAGAAATTCTGGTATTTTTCAACCTGGGTCCTGTGTTTATTAATGTGTAGATCATCTCCGCTGGCAGCCACCACTCAGTGGCAGTGGCTACAGTGTAATCTTATGGGGCAACCGCGACAGTACAAATTGTTTTGTTTTTTTAGTTTAGTTTGTAAAGAAGCACTTGCAGGAACCAAATCATTTCTGGATTGCTGTACATTAAACCAATCACCTCTTACTATGAAAGTGTTTCTGATGGATGGATATTTTCCTTCAGTTCAACTTAATTCAACTCAACAGCAGACAGAGCCCTCTTTAAAAGCTGAATCCCATGGGGCAGTAAAAGATGATACTGGAGGAAGGTGCTTCACTTGGGGAGGGGGTCATAAACTTTTGGTTTTGTGGTACATCCCTCTTTGCTCCACACCCACCATTCCTTCCACGGCCCCAGTCGAGCTGTCCCCCACAGTTTCCCCTGTGGCTTTGGGACGTTTGTTGAGACTGGCTCCTGCACAGAGTGGGCTTGAGTGACAACCCCCCCAACACACACACACACACACACACACACATACACACTGCCTCTCTCTCTCTTTCGGCCCCCACCCTTTTCCCCCTGTCCCTCATCAGACTAGCAGGGTGTCAGCGCAGAGACAGCACGTTGATTTATTGGTCTCTACTCCTCTGGGACCCCGCCCTCAACAAGACACACACACACACACACACACAATGACAGCCCCTCCCTCCATCTCACACTCACTCCACCCCCCACCCCTTGCCCCCCAACCCTCCATCCATCCCCTCCTGTCCTCTCCTGCTGCATGGCCCCTGGGGGGAAAGAAGGAGTAATGACCCACATCAGCAGCAGCTATGCTCACATGCACACACACACACACACACACAGATGTAGTTGCACATGCACCACACAGACACACACACGCAAACACCTCCTCGCAGGCAGGCAGGATACAAATAAATACCCCGTGTGACACACATATGCACACGTATGCACACATAAAACAGACGCTGACACATTTACGCTCACAGGCATGTGTATCTGGGAACTCAGGAATTCCAGTGCTATGCTGTAACATTGTTTCCCAGCTCACAAGCCTCCTCCAGACCACAGAACACTGAGGAGACCAGCACTGTTATTCACCCACTGCCATGATATCTGCTAAATGCTTCTTTCTTTTTGCAAATAGGACACAAGAGGGAACATACACTTCTTCTTTTGTCTGGGATTGTTTTTTCTTGAACAATGGAGTGATTTGTATTCATCCAGCGTGAAGTGGAATAAGATCTCCTTTTCGACAGTCCAAATATCTGTGAATGCACCAGGTTGCACAATTTGGCTGTGAAATCCACAATTGCACTGTTTGCTCTCAGAGGTGACGATGAAGCAAGAGGCCTTTTTTATTTTTAGAATATAGTTTCCTCATGGTATCTTGTTGTAAAAAGATAACTTCACGTGTGCAAGTGGAATTTCCTAGACAAGGTCAGAGTCAACATTCTGCTGCTTATATTTGAAGGGCCGAGTGGGAAAAGGGGGCTTCTTCTCAGAGGGGTGATTTTGAATCCCACACTGAGTGGAGAGTGAAGCGGTTAAATCTCTGAGTATTGACTTGCAAATGTTACTGACAACACTCTGCA